AATGGGATGAATAGGGGCTCATTGGAAAGCTGGAGACGAGGAGGTTGCTGACGGGAGGATAGGCGGGCGCTGTGGCGAAGCGTTGCGGAGTTAACTTTTACATTTCCCATTTCGGACCCGTTATGATATATTCCCCATTCATTCATATTTCTTTTATTGTTTCTTTGTTCCCAATTGGATATTCATCATTTACGGTTGCCTAACGGCCCGTTTACATTCCCCCAGTCCATTCATTTCATTTCAAACATATATAAACTAGATAACAACTTGTACATAACAAGTTAGTACTGAATAGACCCATGAAGGGACAAGCAGAAGTTGCATCCAAGTGGCAAATGTTGGAGGAACCGTGTGCTATGGGAGGCCGGACGAGTTTTCGTACAGCCACATTCCCACATCCGGGTGAGGAACTCGCCCGGACAGCCACATTCCCGCGGTAGCGTGACTACTTAGTCACAACACCTTTTCTCTTTTATATTATTTCGGACTAATCCGTGCCAGGCCACGGACATATTCATTCATTTGAATTCATTTCCTTTTCCCTCAGTTCTTCACGCATATTGGCTGAGACTGAGGTTAGTTAGTTACATTCCCTCATTGCTTTATCATTGTAACTTATATTATGTATATTACCTCTAGTCATTACTCATAGGTAATATATCCAGTTCTTCACGCATATTGGCTGAGACTGAGTCATTACTCATAGTCCAGCTCCGAGATCATAAGTCGCTCATCAACAGCAAAGACGCCATCCACGACCCTAACGCTCCCTTGAGATTGTTGCTCATGTCTAAGACTGTCAGGGCAATAGCCCCGAACCCCGAGTCACATGTAAATTAGATACATATAGTCACGTGGGCAAGCGGGAACCTCCGGGGAACTGCTTACTGTTAGAACTGGGCGGAAACAGACGACTCCGGAGTGGAATCAGAGACTTAGCGTGGAGGGACCTTGGCCTCAGCGACTCAAGCGGAGCGCTGTGCCATTGCTGTTTGTCCATTTGGTCCTTAATTTCACAGTAGGTGAGCAGGAAGTCTCTAGGGGGCATTTCAGGTCGATTTCGGACTAAACCAAAACGAGTATGTACAAGCGCCGATATATATAATGGAAGGGGCAAAAGCACAAGGAAAACAAAGGGTAACCGAATCGGAGCGAAGACGTCCAAACGGGAACAAAGGGTAGAAGGAGCGGATAGGTACCGAAGGTCATAAGGCAGGACCTGTGATACATCCGAAAGGAGGTAGGGGGGCGAGGCCCAGAGGGGCAGGAGGATGAGGGGAAGTGGGGATGATGACTAACTGGCTAGAATAGAAAGAAGCAGTAGTCCAAATAGGGATGAAGGGAAAACACGAGAAATACATTACAGGCAGCGAGAGTGCCGAAGGCAGTCCACGAAGCTCGGGGATTGCGGAGCTTACGGAGGTTATGGAGGCGGGGTTGAAAGTCCAAGGAATATTGGCAATGGTGTTTACATAGTATGAGGTCACCAATGCAATGGACTAAGACCAAGGTGGAGTCAAAGTCCAAGGTAGGGACTATGACGGAGGCTCGGAGTAAGGTACGAGCGGTGTCCGAGTGCGAAGTACGGAACAGTGGTGGAAGGTCGTAACTTGGCGGAAGGGTGGCGGAGGAGTAACGGAGGGAGGAGAGAGGGAACAGGTAAGGGGAGAAGGAGTGGCGGAAAGGAGAGTAGTCAGGTCCGAAGGTGAGTATCGGAGCAGATGGGGGAAGGGTCGGAGGATGACGGGAGGGTGGAGGTGTTGTGAAGGGGGAGCGGAGTAGTAGGAGGGTGGCGAGAGGGGCGGTGTTCGGTCCGAGATGAGTATCGGAGCGGACAGAGATAGGGTCGGGGAGGTAAGGAGGAGGTGTGTTGCCAGGACCGAAGGTGAGTATCGGAATGGCAGCGGTAGGTTATGACTCCGGAGGTGAAGGGGGTGGGGGTCCGGAAGTCGGGTCGGGGTCAGGTATGCACGGATATGACACTTACACACCACCGTAAAATACACTATCTTGTATCACTTACGGCCTTGTGTGCTGAGCCACCCTAAGACCTCACAAAGACCCCTCTCATCATAATACTCAGCCTTGATGTCCAAGAGAGACGTAGGTGAGTGTTTGTTTGAGGTTTTTGCAGACTCGGTAGCGCCCCAGGACCAAAACCCGGCCCAACAAACCACACCCGCACACACTACCACCCTCCCCCTTCTCTCTGTCTCGAGTCTAGGCGATAGACCCATTACAATGCCATTGTTACATAAGACTTGGGGTTTGGGGCTATTGCCCTGACATTCTCCCCCTTTGCATTGCATATGCGATGCATACATGGTTAATGTCATATCCATACAATCCTGACCTCCACTCTAGGCTCCCAGAACTCCGAAACTAACTCCAGAGCCCCACTTCCTGTCCATCACCTTCTCCTTGCTGACTCCCAAAGATCCCACCTCTGGTTCTGACACCACCTTCAGTCCAACTCTGGACCATCTCAGGTCCGACCTCAACCTCGACACCTTCCAGACAAGTATGCAACCATGTTCCTGACTCCAGACCTCTGCTCCAGAATTCCATTTGCATCTCTGTCTTGGAACTCCAGTCCTAGCTCCAACCTTGGACTTTGACCCCACCTCTGCTTATGCCCATTATATTGGTTGGCCGATTCCATTTATTTCCTTTGCTGATATTCCGGAGTTTAACTTCCAAGTTCAGACTTTCTGGACTTACTTCGGACCTTGCAACTATTGCATTATCACATTCATCTCTGCTATTCTCCCTCATTCCTATTTGGGCTGCTGCTTCCTTCTATTCAGTCAGCTAGCCATTCCTGACTCCCATCCTCCTTCCTTCTCCCTTGGACCTTGGCCCTTCACTCCTCCTTTGGGAAACACCATTGAGTCAAACCCTTGACCCTCAGTGTTGTTCCTCCTTCCAGCTCCCTTTGTCTCCTTACTCTTGTTCCTTTTGATTCTGGACCCCTCAATGTACCTAGTAACTTGTAACCTCAGCCCAAAATCGACTTGATTCCCCCCTAAGAGACTTCCCCCTCTGCTAGATCCAAAATTAGGGACCTCCTAATTTCTGAATGATGCCTTCTTTCAGCATTGTCTTCTCCTATCCTTGGGAGAAGGATCTCCTTAGCGTCTCTGTCAAGTCGCTGGTGGTATTCCAGTGTGCTTTCACTGGTGGTTCTTTTCGTGAATTTTTCACGAGTTCTGTTTTTGTCCTGGCCCGTGGCCCAGGGGTATTTTTTTGTTTCCTCACTATTTTGTGAGAAGTTTATCTCCTTCAGCAAGTCCATCTGCTTGCTGATTTTTTCAGTCAATGTGTCGATTGCGTTGGCCATTTAGATGAGCTGTACTATTGTGGTTCGTTTCCTTGATCTTTTTTTGGATTGAGTTTATCGTGTTTATTATGTGCAATTCCTGCTTTTCCAGGAGGAAGTTTGGTTGGGCGAGCAGTGACTCTCCCTAGTTGACATTGCTGCTTCTGGGGGTTTGTTAGGTACGGGTCAGCAAACGGGGACGACTGGCAGGGACAAGGCTCCGGGGTTGGGCTTTGGCCTCAGCGACTCCAAGAGAGCGCTGTGCCCACCTACTGTCTCAGTGCCCACATTTCGAAGTGGCTTGGGCTGCCTTGTTAGGGGGGACAAACCATGTCGATATTCAGACTAAAGCAATACTAATGTATTATACATTGTATATATGTATAGTCAGAGGAACTGAATGGGTCAGGTGATGAATTAACAAAGGAACACAGAACAAGGGCCGGCATCCAGGTCAGAATGCATGGTCGTGACAGGGTTCCAGAAGGGGTTCTTGGAGTGAACACTCCACGCTTGCTTTGTTTAGGTGAGGCCATTGCGGAGGGTGCTTCCCTTTCATAGTAGGGTCTGTTCACTGGTTTTTCCTTACTTTTCTGTAAGGCTTCCTCAGCAAACTCCCTCATTTTGGTTTGCCTCCTCTTCATTATCTCGGAGACCTCCTCCAAGGTTGGTGACCTTGCCTTGTCTGGCATGGCATGGGGTAGTGTAAACAGCGGAAGTTCTTTTGGAGCTTCTGTGCTCTGGGAGATCCTGCTCTCAGGGCATTTTTTCGTGCCTTCTCGGGCTTCCAGCCTGAGAAGAAGTTGGTCTTCACTTTCCGTCCTCCATTCAGACAGAACCTGGAACAAGTCCAGTAGTTTTTCGGATAGCTGACGCAGAGGCTCTTCCTTTTGGTTCCCTTTGTCTGCCTTTGGGGCTTGACTTGGGGACATGGGGGAGGACTCCAGGGGATAGTTGGGCCCTGGAGTTTCCTGCAACTCTATCCAATCAGCTTTTTGGGCTGATTGTTCGGCACTTACACATTTATCGCGCAAGTTGATCACCTCCTGAGGAGGTGAGGGATCTTCCCCAGCTTGGGTTAGATCAGTATGTTGTGGAGTTCTAGGGGTATTGGGCCCCGCACTTACTCCACGTAAGTTTCTACAACCTTCAGGGGCCAGCCCTGAGGTGGTTGCTTTTACCAGATCATGTTGATCCTCGTCGTTGTCTGACGACAGCTGTTTATTCAAATCTCCCATGATGGGAGATTGCGGTTTCTTAATGAACCGCTTGTTCTTTTTAGCATTGCTGCAGACGTGACCTTGCCCTTGTGGGTGTGTTTAGGTGCCATTGGCGCTACCGAGTCAGATGTTAAGATTGATGTTAAGTTTTTGTGGGTTGTGTTGTAAAACACACCTCATACACTTAAAAAAGTGTGAGGTCTCAGGGTAGCTCAGCACACAGAGCTGTAAGTGATACAAGGGTGTGTATTTTACGGTAGTGTGTAAGCAGTTACCTGGAGGTTCCCACTTACCCATGTGACTATATGTATCTTAATTACATGTGGCTCGGGGTTCGGGGCTATTGCCCTGACATGGTCATACTCAAGCAAAAAGATGTAATGCAGCACTTCTGAGAGTGGTAAGTTAACAATACTGGATCAAACTTGTGACTTACCACACAGAAAGGAGTCACAATCCTTTCAATTGTGGCAAATAGTTCAAGCCAAAGATGCAATGCATTCCAAGCTATTCAAGGCTTCTGTCTTGACTCCACAAACACACATAGGCAAGTCATTGAAGTGCTCTCACACAGAGGGTGGAGTGTTCCAGCAGATTCCATCTACCATATGGTTCAGTCAGTGACCACAAGCCTCAAAGCAAGCTTGAAGAACCTCTCAGACCCTGGGCAATATGTAATGGTGTATGATAATCTGGACTTTGACTTTGGGACAAAAGAGCCAAGTGATCAGAACCAAGGGACATTTTCAAGTATAATGACAGCCACTGTCATATCCGTACATACCCGATCCCAATCCGACTCCTGGACCCTCATCTTCATCACCTCCGGAGTCCTACCCTATCTCTGTCCGCTCAGACATCTACCTTCGGACCAAACATCACTCCTCACACCATACTCCTCCTCTCACTCCCCATCCGTCCCTCTCCTACCCTACCTCCGTCCACTCCGATACCCACCTTCAGACATGACTCCATTCCACTCCACCCCACTCCTCTTGTCACTCTCCTCCCTCCTCCCCTCTTCCATCAAACCTCCATCAACTTACAACCTTCTGCCGTAGTCCTGTACCTCATACTAGGACACCACCTGTACCTTCACTCCGAGACTCTGTCATGGTCCCGACCTTGGACTTAGACCCCACCTCAGGTCCATTGCATTGGTGACCTCATTCTACATAAACACCATTGCCAACATTCCTCAGACATCCAACCCTGCCTCTGCAACCCCTGTAAGCTCCACAACCTCCAAGCTCCATGGATCATACTCAGCACTTTTGCCACTTGTAATGTATCTTTCGCGATTTTCCCTCATCCTTATTTGGACTATTGCTTCCTTCCATTTCAGCCAGTTAGTCATCATCCCCACTCCACCTCATCCTCCTGCCCCTCTGGGCTTTGCCCCCCCTATCTCCTTTTGGATGTACCACAGAGTCTAACCCATTGTCACGGCCATGCATTCCAGCCCATTCCCGGCCCATCCCGATGCCACCCAAGCCCATTACCGCTATGCGAGCGAGAGCGCGAGCCCCGACCTCAGCTCTATCCCCCATGAGGACTCCCTGCTCACTCCCCTGCTTGCCCCTAGGCTCCCCTGCACCTGGCCGACTCCCCCACAGCCACACCAACCTTCCCACCCTGAGTCCACCTCTGGCACCGTGCCTAGCGCGACTCCTCTACCCTGCCCACTTGGCCCCTACAGGGCCACTATCATCCCCGCGCCCGACTCTGGCCCAACTCCGAGTCCAGCGCCGCTACGATACCATTGCCGCTATCGCGGCCCTACGCTCTTTCCTTTATTTATCTGTTATTGTTTGTTTTGACCCTCGGTCATTGCCGGCTGCTATGCGGCCAACCCCGCTCCTTATTCTTGTTTGCTTCCAGACCCTTCGGCCTTCGGCCTGGGTCCGCTTCCATTCATTTCTTCCTCCTATATATATCCTGTATGATACTTTATTGTACCTTAGCTCTAATATCGATGTGACCACGACCCCTAAGTCCTGACCCCAACAAGGCAACCCCAGTGAGTCCGAAATGAGGGCCAAGAGACAGCTAGGGGGCACAGCACTCCCTTTAGAGTTGCTGAGGCCAAATGCCCTACCCCTGGGCCTTGTTCGCGGCATCATGGCCATCGCGGCCTATAGCGGCCCGCATCGGTGACCTTCGGTGCCGACCTGGACCAGTGTCTAACACCCATGACCTTCAGCACTGCTCCGCTTCCATCATCCCTCTGTCTCCGTTCAGACACCTTTGTTCCGATTCAGACCCTCTTTAATTTCCTTGTGCTTTCGTCTCTCTACTATATACTGGCACTTTGTCAGGGTTCAGCACCCTGCCCTAGGGTGCCCCAGACTCCCCAACCAATCCCTTCCTTCCATTCCTTCATTGTTGCCTTGTTGTTGCCTTTCTGTGTTGTGTATCTGCACGCACGGGATAGCATGGGAACTTTCTGAGCGAGCAGCTCACCCAGGATGTTCCCACGGGTCACAGCCACAGTTCTGGGCAAGCAACTCGCCCAGAACGTTCCCACGCTTACTGGGCACTGCCACCTGGATGTTCCCTCTGGGTCACACTACACAACTCTAGGAGCTGTATAGTTGTGGGCATGTGACCCATTCCTTTATATAGCAACCATGCGGGGAGATGAGACTTTTACCCTTCTTCTCATCTCATGCCCCGCATAGTGTGAGGACAGGTCAGATGGGGGTTGAGGTCAGGGAGCCTCCGAGTCCGAGGCTGGGCCCTGACACACTTGTACATACTTGTTTTGGACCTTCAGTCTAAAATCGACCAGAAATGCCCCCTAGAGACTTCCTGCTCACTGCTTCTGAAATTAAGGACCAAATGGACAAACAGCAATGGCATAGCGCTCTGCATGAGTCACTGAGGCCAAGGCCCCTCCTTGCTAAGTCTCCGGTTCCCCTCCGGAATCATCCACCCTCACCCAGTTCTAACAGCCACCTTTATTCCACTCACCTATGGTACCATGCTTGCTGATCTCCAATACTCAGGGGAGCTTTGGGAGAAGAGCTCTCTGAATCCTAATCATCCTAAAGACTCAAGACCTCCTACTGCACCAAAGCAACAATATCTCTTTGAGTGCATCCAAGAGCGACACATCAGCAAACCTGGTAGGGAGCTCACAGAGCTCTGTGAGCAAATTGAGTCTTTTTGCTGTGCACCCTCTACATTGGGTGGAAAAAATTAAATAAAATCATTTTGTTCTCCTAAGGATGTAGAAGTGCAAAGATAATATTTATATACATTTTTGGAAATGCATGTTAAAGGCCAGCATCAATTACTTGAAAAGCTCATAGAGCTTTTTGTTTTTAAATAGTGGATGGTCTTCACATCTCCATGAAATCTGCTTAGTTGTTTTGGCACCAGTAGTGCAAAGATAATATGGATATACAGCCATTTGCTTCCAAAGGTCACACTTTTTGTTCACTGAGGTTTAAACACATTTATAAACATAAACATCACAAATAAAAGGCAACATAGTAAAGAATGCTATCTTCTCTCCTTGCAGTCCAATTTTGGGCAAAAGTTGTGGAGTGGTTGAGATGTAATCGTGATTTTGCTGGAGGGGGCCATTTAGTGCAGCAACCTTTGATGTTCACAGCCGTGGGAAATGGCTTGTCACCCCATCAATCATCTCCATCCTCCCCCTCCTCACTGTCTGAGCTGTCCAAACCCAAGTCAAAGGACTCACCCTCATCATTGTCAAAGTTCTCCACAAAGTCTGAGAGTTTTATCATGGCTAACACCACCTGCTTGCACACACACTTGGGTTTTGCTGGCCATGCTTTCCTTGGGACCTTCTTCCCTCTCCCAGTCCCTCAGTGCTTCTTGGTGTGTCTCCTTTGCACACTTCAAAGCTCTTTCTTCAACCATTTTCCAGGCTGCACCATGTTTCTGTGCACACACCCGTGCTGCTTTCTCTCACTGCACTGCCACCCAGATTGCTTCATTCTTGGCAACAATCTCTCAGAACTGGGTGTTGGTGATGATTTGGGGCAATCCATCCATCAGTACCTTGTGGTTGGGCACCTTTTTTTGTTTTCCTTGGCTGCTAGCTGGCAATGCTGCAAGCAGGAATCTGCTATGACCTCCAGAAAACAGAAGGTAGCACTCCAACTCACTCCCCAAGAGCTAGGAAAGAAAGAGAAGGGGCTGAAAGGGTGTTGCAGTAGAACAGGTCTGTATATTCAATGGGGAGGGGGAATTTTGGGGAAAAATTCTGGCAACTCTTGTTTATCTTCTTTCCATGGTGGATTTCCCTAAAGGTCACAATAGCCCTTTACCAATCGTGTGGCCACTTACAACATCCAAGTACATGGACTTCAAAAGTAGCAGGAGGGGGGGAAATCTCTGTTTCAGTATCAATCATTATGTACATATACCCATTCAGCAAATATACAGTCGGTTTCCTTCGCTTTATTGCGAAGGGTTCTGTGTACCTTGCCACTTTTGAAGGTGGCTTCGGCCTGTTCGTACCAGTGTACAAATTCTTTCCCACTCACGCTTGTCCACCAAGTGTATGCGGCGTCATGCGGCGCTTCTGACCCTGCTATTCTCCTCATGGGGAAGTTGGGGTCGAATGTTACATCGACTGGAGCTTTGACTTTGCCGAACTCATTGAGTTCAGTGGTCTCGTATAGCATGTGGACACTTCCCTGCAGGGTAGCTTGCCCATAGGGTGCTGAGGTACTCAGCAGCCTGCCACCTCTGGCAGTGGTCCCCATTTTAGGGTCTGCCGTTGGTTGCCTACCGCTCTCCCTCTTCCCCTTGACATGGGTTTGCCCTTCTGAGGGTGGGCCCTTATGCAACCCAGACAGGGTCGCCTGCCCATGGGGTGGTGGGATAGTTGGTGCCCCACACCTTGGTGCACTAGTCCCCATGTGGGGTCGCGCCTCATGAGGCCTGGAACTGTATCCCCTCCCCCTGACCTGGGAGGCCCCCATCATGATGGGTTTGGCAGCGAGGTCTGCCAGTGCGTGTGCCTCTCTGAGCTCGCGTTTCAGTAATTCGATCTCCCTTTTTTGGAGATCAACTTCTCTCTCTGTGTCTTTCAGAGAGTCGAAGATGCCCTCAGCATCTCTTCGTGCTCTGTTGTATTTGTGCCTCCAGTGGGCACAATGGTCGCAGGCGTCTTCTGATGCCCTTGAGTTATCAGACCATGCCCGTTTGGACGGTCTGGACGAGGAGCCGCTGTCGCTCCCTTGTCTCCCTCCTACGAGGGACTTCATCTCTTTCAGCTCCTCGCGGAGCTGACCTGTCTGAGCAGCTACCGCTGACGTGATGGCTGATTCCCAGCCTGCATTTGGCTGGGGTGTTGTTGGGCCTGGGCCGAATTGGCCAATCCAGGGGTTAATCTGGCCAGGGAAGTTCCCTGGGGAGTATGCCTGGGGCTGCAGCAGCAAATGCTGCCCCTGGAATGGCGCTTGTTGTGCCATCGGTGCAGTTTGCACTGCGTATGGTTGGAAGCCCCTCTGAGGAGGCTGGGGGTATGTGGTGCCTGTTAGCAACGTGGATGGTTGTTGGTTTGTGGCACTCATTTGTGCTGCGTGCATTGTGTAGTCCATGGCACTTATCTGCGCCTGGTGTTGTTGTTGTTCCGGGGAGCCTTGCTCTCCAGGTTGTCGTATTTTGATGTCTG